AGAGACATGCATATTTAATATTATAATATTTAAGTTTTAATAATATTTAACATTTGCAACTTAAAGTTTATTTTAAATTGAAATTAAAGTTTTTAAGTTAAGGTTAAAAAACTCTAAATACATAATTTATGTTTAAAAAATAAAAAATAGTCTAATTTCAATATTTAATTTGTAACAAGTAACAAATGAGTTTACAATTGTTGTCGATGCGGGGTGTTGTTGAATGATAATGTCGGGGCGGACGTCTGATGCGTTGTGGCCGTTATGGTTGCTCAGGAGTATGGTACCCATCCTCCTCATTCATTGGGGGCATTTCAACTGTCATTCCACTAGTTTGTGATTCCATCCCACTTGCAAACGTTGACTGACAAATACTGGTATTTGACATCATAGATGTCATTTGGTCAAAGTCATACATCGACTCAAACATGGGAGAGTAGATGGGTGCCTCAGGCTGCACAAACTCTGGTACGTATGTCTGGGCATCAAAATCATCAAATGCGTGATGCAACGATCCAGCATCGCTGAACGGTTATGGTGCGCTATTATCCACATCAGTTATTTCCGCTTCAAGTTGTTGAGATAAACTCCCACTCCCACTCGGTAGAGAGTATTCAGCTTTACCAAATCTTTTCTTAAACCTCAAAAACTATCGCCTCTATACCATTGTTGTCAAGAACGGCTTTCCATTATCTCAAAAATAATCAAGGTAAGCTGAAGTCTCAAAATTAAAGTCATCGTCTTGAATGGGGTCAAAAGTTGGCATGAATGAAGCCCTATTGTTCCAAGCATTAATGTAGGTTGCATTCTTCTCAACCCAATTCACCTTTTCTTTACGGTAACCATCAAATCTGTGTAGATGGTCATGCGTCTCAACCCAATTCACCTGACGACGACCATCTAAGTTTTGGAGGAGGTCATGATCCCATGGACTCTGCGGAATAGGTTGGTGGAAGCCGAATTACCTCAGCACTCTATCCGCAAATTGGATCTCAACAAAAGCAAAATTGATCAATGGTGTAACAACACACCAATATTGAAACCCATCAAAAACATCGTGTGGCACCAACGCCAAAATTTCTTCATCTATGTATGGTCTCCAATTAAACTATAAAATTAAAATAACAATAAAATTGATTTAAATCAAATAATATAGTTAATTTAAATAATAATTAATGATAATAGATTATACATACCTCCTTTTTGCCCTTAATGTCGATCTTCAGCCTGAACTCTTTAATATTGTTGTGCATCAACCCCGTGCCTTCAATTTTATGCCTCTAGCTGTATATCAATCAAAACAAAAATATGGTCATTTTGTTCAATATTTTTAATCAAAATAAATAATTTATAATTAATATTTTATATTAAAATAGAGAATTCATATTACCTTCAAGTAAGTGGAAAGTCAACCGCAGTCCGACTAATCAGTATCAAAAATGGAAGTCTATGCCAAGAACATGATTGTAGCAGCAGACATCCACCGATTTCTGTTGTATTATTATCATTCACGACTAATGACGCCTTGTACATCTCATGATACAAGAACGCCAATATCGTCGATCCTCAGCTATAATGCCTACTATTCACAAATTTCTTAAAAAAAGAAGATAATGAGTGTGAACATAACTACCGGATTTATCCGGCATCAAAATTCCCCCAATTAACTGTAATATATATGCTCGTGTTGCATATATAATTTCTTACTCCGTACTATTTGGTTGGAGCTGAAATTGATTCTTCAACCATGACAACCTCACACGCCACCCTTTACACTCTGGTGGTACAGACGTTTTCCCAAGAAACACACTGCAAAGTTGTGCCACATTATTGTACTCATGTGTCATTACCACCGGTATCCTATTTGTTTGGACCCCAAGTTGTATTGCCATATTCTCCAGAGTTATCGTACATTCTCCACACGACAAATGAAATGTGTGCGTTTATGGTCTCCAACGTTCAATCAACGCACTGATCAAACCTGGGACCAACTTGTATTCTCGCACAAATGTTACATACCAAAATCCAGCATGTTACAAGTTTTCTTCTATCAATCGGTGTGGCTTAGGCAGATTATGTAGCCGATGACGAAAGACTCACTGCTCGTCCTCCAACAATTAAATAATTCAAAAAATTTATCACAATCATAAAATAATATTCAAATATTTATTAATTATAATTCATTAAACAAATATTTTATTCACCATTATTCCCAAATGAGTTGAAATATGTTCATTGTCAAGTCTCAGCAGTGAAATTTGGTCAGCCATTGGAATGAATCTGTAAAAAATATTAAACAACAATATTTATAAAATCATTTAATATAAACTAACTAACAAATTTTTTTTATATAATAACTTATAAACTAATAAACTAACAAACTAAACTTTTTAAAATATAACTTAAACGCGCCCTTAATCAACTAATAAACTATTCTTTTATATAACTTAAACTAATAAACTATTTTTTAATTATAATATAACTTAAACTACTAATAAACTAATTAACTAATTTTTTATATAATATAAATTCAACAAACAAATATAACTTAATTTTTTAACTATCTACAAACTAATTAAATATTTTTTATATATAACTAACGACTAACAAACAAACTAATTAATTATTTTTAATATATAACTATCAAACAAACTAATTAAATAATTTTTTATTTATGTATGATATAACTTAAACTAACAATAATATAACTTAAACTAACAAACTAATTAACTAAATTTTTGTTTTACCCTAAACCCTAAACTAACAAACTAATAATTTAAAATAATAAACCGATTTAAATAAAATAAACAAAATTACCTCGATGTTTGCCTCCCTTTCTTCTTCTTCCTTTTTTTCCTTTCCTTTCTCTCGACACTCTTCTCCCTTTCTTTCTTATGCTTTGTTAACCCCATATCATACCCTATATATTTAAAGGTCGGCTGCTTCAATTCATGCAATAATAATTGAAGACATCATAAGCAGTTGTTATCATTCAACGCAACAATAATTGTTGCATGAAGCAACAAATGATACTGCATGAAGCAACGAAAATGATGCTGCAATAATGCAGCGATTAAAGCTGCATGGGAGCATCGGGGAGCAGGCGAGCATGAGGGGAGCAGGCGGTAGGAATCTCGCTAGTTTGGTCGCCGGGATCATATGGCGACCTTATAGGTCGCCCGGCATACATGGCGACCTCCATTGGGCGTGCATGGCGACCTACACGCATGCAAACTGCAGCAGCTCACCACAGCTCGCGGGGACATTATGGCGACCTCCTTGGTTGCCCAGAGCGACTGGCGACCTGCATGGACACTGTAGAGATCACCCTATTTCAGCAATTAATCTGGTGAGAGCATTATTTCGTGAAAAATTTTTTGAGAGCATTATCTCGTGAATTTTGCCAATATAAACGTCATTTTATTTTTTAATTGTAACTTTTGTCGTCAGGTGGATATATCAATAGTTAAAGTTCATGTCTTAAATGAAACATTTTTAAATATAAATATTATGTTCAAAATTTATGATTATTTCTCTCAACAATGTTATCCTTAAAATTTTAATCTAATTTTTTCATAAATATAATATATCTTATCATTACATTCAACATTTATTTATATCTAGTTATTTTCATTTTACTTTCAAATACAAATCTTGAAAATAAAAGAAGATAATAGCATATCAACAAGGTTGGTTCAAGTGATAAGCAGTTTGATATTATTTAAGTAAAGTCTTGAGTTTGAGTCCTTATATATACAAAAAATTCCTACAATGAAACTCACTCACAAAAATCAAATATCGGTTCGGATTAGTCAAAATAAATTCTTAGAACCAGAAGGGAAAGAAAAAAAATAGCCCTAGACATTGATTGCTGATGCAAGCAATGAAAATCTCCTCCCTAATTCCAACCTTTCTTATCCCCTAAATCGATAAGATCATATAAATAAATATGATTCGTTCTTGCTTGGTTTTCGACCATAAATCTTGGTCCAAGTGGACAGTGATGGGGTTTGAATATCGTCTCATGTTTTTGTTTTAATGAGTAGGGGTACGCCTTTCAAACTCTCCATTGTCGTCTTGTTACAGCGATTTGTGTTTGTTGAGTTCCATATGTTTCACTCCTAACCTATTCCATAAAATATACACATATACGTGTTCACCTTCGGCTTCATCTGTTATGTTTTACCCACTTACATTAAGCAGCAGTTAATGACTTCAACCTAGTCGTACCAGAAAAATCCTACCATATCACTAGGTTTTGCTTCTTCTTTTACTAGACTACACCAACCACATGCATCCCCTTTACTCCATTCTATCTAACAATACGAAGTAGCAAAGAGATGGCTTAAATTAGGGTTGAAGATGTCATCTCATGAAATTAATGAATATAAATTTGTTGTCAGTAACAAATTTAGCTGGCCCACAGTTGATAATTCACCTTTTTCTAGTTTGAGCAGAAATCTAAGAGAATGATCGTGGGTCAATATTTTTGTGTTGCAGATAATTGGTCATGAAGAATGAAGAAGATGATAGGGAGGTTGTGAGGGTTTCAACCCCTTCATATGTTTTTATTGGGGTATTTATCTCAAATTTTAGTGTATATCAGTCGTAGGGTCATCATTCTTATTTGTAGACTAATATATTATGCGAATTTGTTAGTCTTTGGATCAATTCATTATGATGTGTCAGAAGAGTCTGTCAAGAGGTATTGTTTATGCATTGTAATTGATTAGAAGTGTGTACACAGAGGATGTAAGCTAGTTGGAGGTTCTGGCAGGACGAGAAATTTGTCTAAAGACCTTAACTGGTGGAGAACTGACAGTTTCAATAAATTTAATGTGACGAATTAAAAAAAATTAGGAGTTTAGAGAAATATAATAAATTAGATGCAAAAGTCGATATTATTCAAAAATTTATATGAAGTATTTATATTCATACTTACAGTTGAGTCCGGATGATATAGATAGATTAGGAGTATATTACGTGTACCCTTTTTGTTTTCCAAAACTTCTTAGAAGTCCCCCAGCAACAATATAAAAACCATTTGTCAAAAGTGTTAGTGGAGCCGAAGTCTTAGTACATGAAGCAAATGGGAAGGACTCCTTGTTGTGAGAAAGGTCACACAAACAAAGGAGCATGGGCTAGGGAAGAAGACGAGCGCTTAATAGCTTACATCCAAGCTCACGGTCAGGGTTGTTGGAGATCGCTACCGAAAGCCGCCGGCCTACTTCGTTGCGGCAAGAGTTGCCGTCTCCGATGGATTAACTATCTAAGACCCGATGTTAAGCGAGGTAACTTCACCGATGAAGAAGACGACATCATCATTAAGCTACATAACCGTCTCGGTAACAAGTAAGTTTCAGGGACCATTATTTATATCGTTTCTTCAATTTCATGCCTCAGGCCTTCGCTAAAATTTGTATCTTTGTTGCTGAAAGGTGGTCGAAGATAGCATCGAGGTTACCGGGAAGAACAGATAACGAGATCAAGAATCACTGGAATACACACATAAAGAGGATGATGCTGACTAAAGGTATAGACCCCACAACACATCGATCCATCAATGAACATGTCTCATCGACGATTGTTCTTAGAGAAGATACGAAGATCCATGATGAACTTAGTTGCAATAACCAGAACAAACCAGAAGAAGAAAAGTGTCCGGAATTGAGTCTTGAGCTGCGAATAAGCCTTCCCTCTTCAAGTACATGACTATGATAGCAAAATCATAGTACAAATAGTTCTAAGTTTTAAATTTCGATAGTTCCCCTCTGGTTTTTATATTAACAATAGGCTTTTATCATAACTGGAAATGGTTCAATGACATATTCATATCTTTGATAAAACCTGTGTTCTTGAAGATCATTGGCTATTTTCATTTGAAAAGAAGAAAGCTTTTCTTTTTGGTGCAATTAATGAGCGATATGGAAAGAGTACGTGAAGTCTCTTAGTGAAGAGGGAGAAAGGGGAGTGAAAGAGGCGAAGAGAGCTTCAATATTCATTGCTAATTTGCTAGCATGTTAGACGATTCTACCTACCGCATTAGACAGTTCTACCTACCACACAATTATTGTGCCAGCTGCTGGCTGCTGGCTGCATCCAAGGAATAAAACCCTATCTTGTAGAACTTGTCTCTGCTCTTTTGTTTAATCACTATCTTCATTATCCCAACAAGTGTCCTAACTCCTAACTATAATTAATATGCATGCAAAGAAGGGAACTTTAGTTATCCATAGATGACATGTGTTAAATTTAATTATATTGTGAACGAAAATATGGTGTTCTAAGAGTTTTGTTCCTTAATTTGATTTAACTCTGGTTGATAGTAATATTTGGGTTGTGGCGATAATAGTCTGTTCATCTTTTCTGATTTGAACATAAAACTGTAATCAACAGTCAATGATAAAGTTATAAACAATCAATAACGTCCAGTCTAAAAGATCTGAAGAGTGTGTAAGAGAACTCGAGAAGTTCCTTTCTCAGTCTTGGCTAAGTGTTTTTATGGTGACCTTTATCACCGATGCCCGATCTAGGATCATGATTGTATTTGTAGGTTCATAGATTGAATAAATATGATTTTTTGACAGTAGATTTAGTTTTAGCATGTGATATGAACTTGAGAGAAGATGAAAACCTCAAAGTTCATAAGTTGACGGAGGAAATCTTTCAAAGGTCTCCTATATTATTCTGGAGGATTTAATCACCAGATGAATCAATTATGGAAGGAGTCCGGAAGAGATATAACAACTCTAAATATAACTCGACCTATATTATTAGAAACAGGCAAGATCTCGTACTCGTACAAGAGAAAAAAAAAAAGACCATCGATGCTGGTATATTTCAATATGTAACGCCTGCTATAGGGGTAAAGACCAGGAGAAAAAAGTTGGCTCCTTTTGGTTAATGGTTCTTTAAGTACTTGAACAATTTTCATCTGCATTTTTCTTTCCTTTTCCTGCTCTCTTTTAACCAGAAAAGTGATCAATCTTAAAAAATGGTTGATGAGAGATAAATTCAACATCCGAGTGACTGATGATGATGGCTTAATGCTCGACTACATAACTGGAAAATGACCCTCTTCCATTTTCTTCATGCTGATGTAATGTAACGTGCCTGTATAGAATATTTTATGTTTGGTATTGACTCTATAACTTGAGCTTTGTTACTCCAATGAACTTTCACAATTCCAGTGACACCATAGTCACAGGGTAGGTAAGGAATGTGGTTTGAGCACAATTTCGTCGCCAACTCCCAAAAGTCTTTTCTTATTAATCATACTTTTAACTAATTCTTCTATTGAGTTTTTTTTATTAGTTCGAGAGTTTTTTTTATTAATATGAGATAAGTATAAGATATTATATGTTCAAATATAATTCTCAATTATTTGACATTGAATGCTCACGTTCCTAGCATTCCTATTGCTCGAATTTGTGACCTCAATAAATAACAACAATTCATTTACTACCGATGTTGCTTGAATCGTGCAGTTCAAGAGAGCTAAATACGTGAAAAGATTATCAGTGATGATAATAATTTTTATTAGATTTATTTTATTACGTTTATTCTAACATTTAGTTTGAGAGAATTTCCCAATGTATAATATTCTTTTCTTAATCTTTTTTTCTCTAAATGGTGGAAATGTGATTCCTACCAATATCTTAGATAAGGATTTTTGTTCATATAAATCATTTGTTGTATCTGAAGTTGGGTAATTAATAATTTGTTGTGTAAATTTATTAAATATTTTTTATTTAATATATTTTATATATAAATGGTGTTACACATTTTTTTAGAATAATCTAAGGTAATTATATTTTAGTATCTGTTCAAAACGTTCTTACATATTTAAAAAGTACTTTAATAATTAATTAATTTTTATTAGTATTGTATTTATAATGTTTTTAAGGGTATATAGTGAAATTACATGTTTTCTTTGAGTGAACGAGTTAAAAGTTAATGCTATTAATATTTTTATTAAGCTAAGGTATTATAAAATAATTAATGTTATAACTTTTTATTATTTTTTAAGTCTTAGAGTGAACAAGTTAGAAGTTAATGCTATATATTTTATTCTTTGGTTCATTAGAAGTTTCTTATTCTTGAGAAATATTTTAGTAGGTTAAATTTATGATTTATAATTTTTATTATTATTTTATTATTTTTAAATTTTAAATTTTAAATTTTATTTATTATAATTTATTTGACAAAATATCATAAAATAATAAAACAAATTAAAAAAAAGAATATATTAAACGTTTAATATTTGATAGTTCCAAAAAAATTAAAGAACAATGATATGTACATATAAAGTATATTTTTAAAAGAAATTATTTAATATATTAATACCATAATAAAAATTAATATTTTTAAAATTTAGATAGTCCGGAGAAAATGGTTCGATAGAATATTAAAAGTTTATTATGTTAAAAAGAAAATATATCACAAGACCATTTAATTTTATATTCTCTTAATCAAATATTGTTATTTTACATCTCTAATAAAAAGTAAACAAGGCAATATAATATTCTCACTAGTATATGTAATGTTACTTTTTAAGAATCGTATTCCTAGGAATAATAATAGTATATTAAATAAACCAAATTCTATATTCTCAAAAATAAAATTTAATTAAAACTTTTTAAGATAATATTATTATTATTAGTAATTATGAATTTAAAATAATTTCAGAAAAATCATACAAATTTATATTTTTTAACTAATCCCATCTTGTGTTAGGTCACGTGATACCATGTGGTTAAAGTTTAACAATATTATATTTTTAGATAGTGTTCGGTTATTATAAATTTATAGATGCTTAATTTTTTTTAATCAATTAAAAACTTACATATTTTTTATAGACATAATTATCTCTAGGGATGATTATGGGTCGGGTTGGTCGGTTTTTGGTCAACTCGATCTGATTTGAGAATAAGAAATCCTCTACCCGAGATTCGACTCGATCTGACCAAAAATAATAAAAATATTATTTTTATTTAATAAAAAAGTGATTTAATTGAAAAAGTAATATATAGAGTGATATTATTGTAATTATTCTTAAATATATAAGGTAAAATTATTTTTTCGGGTCGGGTATTTTTCACCCTAAACCCAACCCGACCTGAACATCGCATTTAAAAAAATCCGACCGACCTGACCCGAACCTGAATTTAAAAAAAACCGACCTGATCGGGTTAAAACCTATCGGATTCAGATATCATGCTAATCCCTAATTATCTCTAAAATTAATAATTTTTTCACTAATGAGGTCAATTACTGTGTTCTAATTATTTAATTATCAAGATATGATATTACGATTATCAAGAGATGATATTATGATTATCTCACAAGTGTTGTACGTAAAAATAATCATACGTCATGATTACTTCATCAGTGTTGTGCATAAAAGCAATCATGCTATTTTTTTGATAGAAAGATTTAATTTTATTAAAAATAAAAATATCAAACATAATCGTAAATATAAATTAAAATATAATTATTACATTTTATTTATAACTATTGATACAATAAATTAATCATTTAGATCACATAATTACCATAGAAGAAAAATGTTAAAAAACTAACCAAAAAGTTTGAACAAAATTTATATAAAATCTGACATCTGTAAACGAACCGCAAAAGATGATGAAATTATTGAAAAATCACCGACAAATCACAAATAGACTCAAGTAACATGAAAAACTATCCACAAACGCAAATTGTGTATACAAATCAATCAGATGATCTAATATAGATAAGACCAGAGTGCCATCTTAATAAATCGTGGTGATATCAAATTATACCATAAGAATTTTTTTAAAACAAAAACAATGACTAAACAACAATCATACTATTATTATTTAGTATAACATATTTAGGGCATCTAATAGCATACTGTAACGCTGTTTACGTGGAAGTATACCAAGCTTCGGTATATAAGACTAAAAATACCATGCAAGTCTTTGTGTTATATTTCAAATTATATTTTATTTGTTTTATTTGAGATATTGAAAAAATTAAACCAAGAAAAGAGCAAAATAATCTTCTGAACAAGAGCAGAGTTATAAAAATTAGATCACACTGCCAAAATTTTAAAAAATTAGCCAAAATAACTATAGACGTCAGTTTTCATTAGAGAATGATACTTATTTTCAAAATAACGTTATTATTCTTTAAAATTGATATTATTTTTATTTCTAATATTTTTATATATTTTTTAAACATTCATTTTCCTAAAAAATTTGAGTGCCAATGAACATCCCACTCATTTACTTAAATGCCGATTTTGGCCTTGCACATAAGGCATAACAGTAATTAGATTTCGACTATTACACATTCATTCAGTTTGCCCCTACTCTTCTAATTGGAGCAAATTAACTCAATCTTTCACTAATCACGTGATATTATTTTATTTTATATGCTACGTCAATAAATAATTTTAAAGTTTCAATTTTAAAAAAATAAAAATGTTATAAACAAATTTTCAAAAATTATGAACAAAAAAAATTTTGAAAAGTTAAAAATAATTTTTTCTTCATTTTTCGATATAAATTCTCAAAAGATAAGAACTACAAAAGAATGTTAATTATTTTGTATAATCACCAATATTTAATTTATTAACCGATTAATTCAGATTCGGTATTACAGAGGCAATGACAACCCTCCCAACTTAGTTTATTTCATTCATAGACATCAAAATTTTGAACCCTAACATTGCTTAAAAGATCTAATGTCTCATCCCTCTAGAATTATTGGTAAATAATGTTAATTTTTCAAAGAAAATTCAAAAATCATGAAACATTATA